CCACATCTTTAGTGGTGCTATTAGAGCACCACTTTTAGTATTCTCAACCATTTTTCATGAAAGATTTGCATGATGAAAGTTTAGTTTTGAGAATGATATCGTCATTTATGATAAAAAAAATATCAATGAAAATGTTAGTTTGTAAAACTGTGTATTTTTTCCCAGCATCATTTGGTAAATCAAAGTCGAAAAACACTAAATTTTTTGACAATCAAATTCTGAACTAAATTTTTCTTTTTGAAAACCAAGTTTTGAAACCAAGTTAAGAACAAAGTTTTTCTTTTTCTTTTTCTTTTTCTTTTTTTTCCTTCTGAAAAAACATTTTTCTTCATTGTCTAGTTGTGAACAATTTTTTTTTTCTTCCAATACTTTAATTTTAAACTCTTTATGTAATTTCAATTCTAAATTTTCAAACTCACATGTTATTATTGTTTTGGGCATTGTCAGCCTATTTGATTTTATTTTTTTCTTTCGATTTTTAGGTTTTCTATGATTTAAGTCTTATGTATTCAAAATGGTGATTAAATTTTCTTCAATAAAGGTTTAAATTTGGATGTGTGTACACAAATTTGACAATTTCTATTTATTTATTTATTTGTTAGGTAAGGGAGTAATTAAATAATAAAAAAAATTGGTAAAATGTTGTTCACCATCATAGATTGATCCCCAAGTAAAATATCATCATCATGGCTGATATAGTTAGGTATTGTAATTTTATTTATTTATTTATTTTTGACTTGGCAGTATTACTTGTGTACTAGATTGAATTACCATTTTCTTCATTTTAAAATGGTGCTTCAACTTTCTTCAGTGGATGTTTAAGTTTAGGTATGCATATAGATTTGGGTGTGTTTTAAATATTGTGTATACACTTTTTATTTGGTAGGGTATATTACATAGTTATTATTTTTAAGTCTGTGAATTGAGAAAGATGTGCACAAACTAGAAATGGTGTGTGGAAATAGAAGCCCCATTCGGAAGGCCATGATGAGTGACATAGGGAGAATATTGAGGTTATAAATTTTAATTTGGGAGTCAGTAGCTCTAAATGCACCCCATTTCTATTTCCACCTCACAAATTCTCTACATCATTGACTCAGTAGACACCAAACACAATTTTGACTTTCTTATTTTTGCTTAATGCACACCATCAATTTTCAAAAATTCCAAAAATATCTCCATCTTCCTCAACCCAACCTCCCAACTCTAACCCTAACCCTTACCTTAACATCTCCCTACTGTTGACGTCGCTCCTGCGAACCCCTTTTCGCCGTCATCTATCTCTAGTCGAGGTCATCCCCTCCCCATCTTTCACTCCCAGCTCCTCCACAATTCCTCACTCCACAGATCCCCTATTGCGGTTGCCCACAACCCTTACCCCCATCGCCCCTTACTTCCCCTCTATTTCCACCCCCAGCCTTTTCTTTTTCTTTTCTTCTTCAAACCCTAGATTTGGAAACCTAGGCCTCGTTTGTTTTGGGATATGAGAGGCAGATTGGGGTTAGGATAGCTATGGGCCCCATTTAATGTGTTGTTTATTTACAGAGTTGAGGAAGGGACTGCTAAGCCGAAGGGTTTAGGATAGGCCTTGCAGATGGGATTCGGATGGACCTCTAAGACTTGGTATTAGAAAAATAGTCTGGCGGACAAGAAATTTTATTTATTTATTTATTTTTTACACGTTGGGCAATTTTTTTTTTAACATTAATGTTTAATTTTTTGTATTTTTTGTTAAGTAAAAATCATTATTTTATTTATTTTATTTTTTTCTAAAAGTTTCTTATTTTATTTTTATTTTTTAAAATTTTTTTACATGTTAGGCATTTTTTTAAAAACATTAATGTTTATTGTTTTTGTATTTTTTTTTATTTGTTTTATTATTTTATATTTATTTTATATAAAAATAATTTAACAATCCATATACTAACAACTATCATCAAAACAAATACAATTTTACTTAATCCCCTCACTATCAATTCCCTCACTAACAATCCCCTCACTATCAATCCCCTCCATTCTACCTCTGAAAACAAACGGGGCCCTAAATCAATCTCTCTCTCTCTCTCTCTCTCTCTGATTCGAAGATTGAGGAGTTGGGTCTCATTGTGGAGTGTATCTAGAGGATGGGTCACGATGGAAGGTTGTAGCATCAATGGTGGGGCAAGTTGCAGTGGTGGTTGGGGAGTGCGGTGCAGGAACTAGAGAAGAAGAAGAGAAGGAAATGGTGGTGCTTGCAGAGTGATGGGTCGTCAGGGATGATCGCTAAAGTGACAAAGATGACGGTTGAGTGACGGGTTAGAACAGAGACAACAACAGCAACGGTGTGACGGGGCTGGGAAGGTGACGACGGCAATGGTCTGGTTCACCGGCGGCTGGAGAGGAAAGAGGTGGTTGGTGTGTAGTAGATTTAGGGTTTTGTCCTAAATTCATTAAGTGTGTGGAGTAAGGAAACTTAGTGTGTGGAAATAAAATTTTCCCATTTTGTTGGTTGGACACACAAGTTTCATTTTTTTAAAAATACCATTTTACCCTTTTTTTCAATTACCAAACTAGCCAAAACCCTAACTCCGGTGGGCTTCTCTAGTTCTGGCAGTAGGTCTAGCTTCGGCCATCTCTGACCATCCCTTTCCAGCCATTCCCTAACATCCGATGCCGCCCTCCAGTGTTTCCTAACCCCCGCCATCCACCCCTTCCCTCACAGCAATATAGCAGAAACTACCTTCCTAGTTGAAAATAGTCATAACATGTCTACATAAATTGATGCTAAAGTATTTAGCACTGTTACCTTTTTCTGTTGTAACGAACTATTGATTGGCGATAAGAACTCAGAACATACGTATTGGTCCAAGTAAATACTACGATATATGAAATTCTAAAGTCCGGCAAGACCACCAATACCAACAAATGATTCTCGGAATCTCTCAAGTGAATTTGTTGCAAGTTTGGGCTAAGGGTTAGTGGTAGGAGGTGGCGGCAGTAATGGAGAGAAAAGGGTTGGAGGCATCACAGCGATGGAGGCGGTGGCAGTGCCTGCCCAGCAATGGAAACTAATTGAAATAAGTGGGATAGAGTTGGGATTATGTAGAGTGTCTAATTTTTTATTTTATTTTTATTTTTTATATCACAATTCAAATTTTGATCTAGGGTGCCCTAAGTAATGGGGTGCTCAACCAAAAAAATGGGGTACATTTAGAGCCACCCTTACAAAATTTGAGATAAATTCCGCTTCATATTTATAATGATTCAAACCGCTTATTTCGTAAGTCTCATGATAAATATTATACGTTGAGCCTCTCTCATGTTGATATTTCAATACGAGAACTTGAGAAGCTCGTAAGGCCTACTACGAGCCTTGTTTTGATGATTCAAGCAGTTCATTTGCAGGACCCTCAATTTATATAATCCATGAAACAATTTAGGTCAATCCGATAATTGTAACCTTTTCATTTTATCACATTTGTGTTTTTAAAAAATGGATGGTCTGTTTTAAAAATTTATTTGTCGTCTATTTTTCGGAGACATATGTGATAAAATGAAAAAGTTATAATTATTGGATCAAACTTTTTTTTTTTTTAATTATGGATAATATACATTGAGAGTTCTACAAAATTTAGATCATCGAAATATGACCCATGGTGGGACCTATAGGCCCTCAAATTCTTTCATGTCTCAACATGAAAGAAGCTCACCCAACAATTCGAATTATCGAAATAGGATCCATGGCGGGTCCTATAGGCCCCTCAAGTTCTTTCATGTTGAGATATCAACATGAAAAAAGCTCACCCAAATATTATCTATTCAAATATTTAATTTTCTCAAACAACTATCAAAACGAAAATAAATTATATTTTATTTTATAAAATAGATTGTTTTAAGTTTATAATTCTATTTGTCATTTTTATAAAACAAACTATGATTTATTTCTATATTTATAGATATTATGTAATTAATTTTTTTTACATTGATGACATTTATGGCAGGGTTTATGAGGTAAAAGGTTTGGATCATCACGAGAAGTATATTTGTATATGAAGAGATGAAAGTACAAATGTGAGCTCATCCCAGAACGATTTTTTAATTCATTATTATTAAAAGGTATTGACCTTTTCAACTATAAAAATTGTACAGATACACTTATTTTAGAGATGTAAAAGGTAAAGTTATATGTTTTTATAAAAGGGGTCAATATATACAGATTCATAGATGAAGAGATAAACTAATATTCACTAATAATTGGTGTAAATAACCCTATAATTTACCACTTTTATAAGCAAAATTGATTTTTTTAAAAAAATAATTTTTCATGATTTTTTACAAGAAAATTAATTTTCTTTTAATTTTCATCACTTTCTAAACAAATTAATATATATACCGGTTTCATCTTAACCAAACTCGACCTTTAATTTTTTATTTCCTTTATTTTTAATTTTTTTTTTAACATTCCATATAATATGAAACAATTTGAACATATGAAAACAAAATTGCATTTAGAAAAAATCAAAACCAAAAAATGTTCTTAAATATATACTACTATATATTTTATATAATATTCCTATTCTTATTATATATCCATATTTTTTTTTTAGAAAGGTTATTATATATCCATATTAATAAAGGCCTCGTTCGGGAAGCGGCTATTTTAGTAGGCTATTTTAGTTTTTGGCTATTTTAGTAGGCTAAAATTTTTTTGTTTGGGAAGATGATTGGATTTTTTTATGGTTGGATGTGATGTTTGTGAGAGAAAAAGTAAAATGATTATGGGTTTAATGTGATATTTTGTCTTATTAACTATTTTAGCCTATTTTGTCTTTTTGTAAATTTTAGCCTAAATTGAGCTATTTTTTTTCTTCCCAAACACCCCCAAAGTGGGAATGCTTTCGTTTCTCTGTTGTAGATTGTCAATTTTACCCTCATGTCCCGTGTCATTGATGGTGTAATGTGTTTTTCTCAACATTGAGAAATCAGACGTGTAGGACCAAATAGGTTTTGAGTTTTGGGTGAAAATTGAATTCAAAAAGTAAATTATATTATATATACTAGTTGGGAAGTTTCGTACTTCACACGATAGCCTATGCCCATGGTTCAAGCAACCTCAAATTGCTTGATTTGAAATTTACATCCATCCAAAAGGATCCTTTAATATTTGATCATTAATTACTAATGTTTTCCTCTTGCATCCAACAATAACTATGAGTGCTATAGATGAAAACATCTCTCATATTTGTAAATATTAGACCAGCTCACTATGGAAAGGTTAGAATCCCTACAAAACAAACAGAACGAAAGTGTATAAGCAAAATAATAATAAAAAATCCATAGTGCATATTGTGCAAACTTCATGGAGGTTATGAAATTTGAATTTTTTTTTTTTTTTAATTGCAATATATGTATTAAGTCATGTTTTGAAAAAAAATGAACTGATTTTTTCAACATTTCATTCTAAAAAATAATTAATCAAAACCAAATTCTCACAGTGAAGTCAACATGGCAAGCCTCAACAAAGTAAAAGCGGACAACTGAAATGCCAGTTGAGTTTTGGGTATAAGGGCAGAAAACACATTCCATAGCAAAGTCAATGTAGTCCAAGAATGGCTTGTTGCAACTGACCTTATACCACTGAGCAATAAGCGGAAAGGAGTTGTTCACTTCCTTTACCAGCACATTTCCCTTGGCGTTTAAGGTCGGATTACCCTCGACATCAAGAACTTCTTCAATAAAAGAGATGTAATATTCACTGGGGTTTGGGCCACTTGAAGGGAACCGGTCATAGAAGAAGGCAATTAGAAACTAGGTATGGACAAAGCTCCATACATTAAAATGACCCAGGGACCTAGCCGAGTCAAGTCGAACATGCAGATTTCCCAAAAAGAGAGGGGCCAAAGGGATGTGGGACCCGTTGCAAAGTCAAACCGCTAAAGGGGATACTAGCGAGTTCAGACTATCAAAGGGGTTGTTGGGCAGAACAAAGAACGACAAAAAATAACTGATGGCATCGGCGAACATCAAGTTGGTGCAATATGCAGGGCCCTCGATGGAAACACGAGTCTGCTCGATATGGTGCCCATAACAGGTTGTATATCTCTGAAGAAGTGGCATAGCCAAGAGAGATAGGAAGTCTTGTCCTTCTTGGGCTCTCAACCAAACGTTCGCTAGTGTTGGGGCCATAACAAGATCGCTACTTTCTCGCCTCACGAAAAACCATCTGCAAAGCAGTAACTATCTCAACAGTCAGGGAAGTAAAGTCGAAGACATGGTCCCCACGAACACTGAAACGGAGCAAAACTGCGACGTCCTCCAAGGTATGGCCAACCTCACCCTAAGAGCGAGCAAATGTATGGGTGTCATGAATCTAGCACGATACAATCACGTCAGTGTTGGTTTGGAGCTTGCGTACAAAGAGATCCCTTGAAGTAATGATGGCACCAAAGAGTTATGTGGCCCTCAAGCGTTGTTCAAAGGCAAGTTTTTGATAACATCATTGACCCAGTAGACCCAGCCAACCGAAGGGCCAGAATGGGTGCGGTAATAGATGAAAGAATGGGAAAAGCCCCCACGCTCCACGTGAAATCGCATCACTGAAGCAAGGTTTACCATATCTGCCTCCTCCAAAGAAGCCTCAGGAAAAGAGAGTAAGGGCTCCTCCAAAGCAGGCGCTACAGGAACAAAGGCATCAGCGTTCCTCTAAAAAAGGTCAACAAGGCCACCAAGGTAAGGAGCCCTTCTCCATTCAGAACGAGGAGGGACCGACTTATCAGCGAGAAATCTGCTAAGTAATAGTGGTTCTAAGGAAAAAAGGGAAGAGATTTTGGGAATAGAAGAAATATACTAGAAAACAAGAAATGCAAGAATTGAGAGCTAAAGAAGAAGAAACAAAGAAAAGTAGGAGACTTAGGCATTTAGGCTTTGTTTGGGAAGCTATGGTTTGGGTTTTTTTGGCTATTTTAGTCACAAAAAATAAAATAGGTTATTTTAGCCATAACAAACAAAACATCACATCCAACCCATAATCATTACATTCTTCTCTCACAAAAAAACTCAAAAAAGCCAAAAAGCTCTTTCCAAACCAAGCTTTTAAGCCCAGGCTAAAATAGCCAAAAAAGTCAAAAAGCCAAAAAGCTAACCCACTTTCCAAACGGAGGCTTAGTAATTTTTTGACTTTTTACGAAAAGATGTGCAAAAAAGTAGAGAGGTAATGTGACTAGTTTTGTTAACTTTTTGACTTTTTGACTAAAATAGCCACTCCCCAAACGAGGCCTTAATGGGCCCCAAAGGCTTTCTTTATGGAGAGTTAGGGGTTGTTTGGGATGTCTTAAATAAGTGTACTTTCTTTATGGAGAGTTAGGGGTTGTTTGGGATGTCTTAAATAAGTGTACTTTTTATCTTTTTAAATTAAAAAGTTGAGGTTGAAAATATGAATGTTTAGGTTAACTTTTTGACTTTTTATGAAAAAATGTGTATTAAAAAATTGTATAAATTAATATGTAGGAAAAAATTAATATTGAAAATTGTGCAACCGTACTTGTTAATTTTTGATAAATAGTGACAATTTTTTACTTTTTAAATAATTTTTTGACTTTTTAATTTTTTTAAAACTCCTCAAACTGGACCTTAGGCCTAGTTTGGGAAGACTAAATAAATACACTTTTTGACTTTTTATGAAATATGGGTTAGGTTTGGATTGGGTTTGAAGTGATGTGTTAGAGAGGTGATGTGACTTTAATAAGATGATGTGACTTAAATAAAATAGTGACTTTTTGACTTTTTATCTTTTTCGTCTCATGCCAAACTTGACCTTAATCACTATCACAACTCGCCAAGACCATCATGACTTTTTAGAAGACGACGTAGGCTTTTGTTGAAGGAATCCGACTTTAGGCTTATTAGGCTGACGTCATCCACACATGGGAAAAGAGACTAGTGTTTCCCATACACACCAGGGGCAATTGTAGCAGGGAGAAGAATTAAGACACTGACTTAATCATTAAAGTCGCGTCAGTTAGGCAAATAAATATCATTAAATGAACATGGGTCAAAGCCTATGAGAAAGGAAAATATTTAAAGGTCACAATTTTTGTAGTTATAATTGTTTAAAATTATCAAAACGACATCGTTTTGAGTGCGAAACATGCCAAAACGATGTTGTTTGACAGTTTTGAGTCATTGTGACCACAAAAATTGTGACCCTCTAGTATTCTTGCTATGGGAAATTGGTCTACCAAAAAATCGAACTACATCTGACCTGTTTGGGCCAAACGGGCCAAGAGCAAAAAGTATCCAAGAGAACTCACTAAGAGCGTTTTTAATGGTAAATGTTATAATTTGACAATAAATAGTAATAAATTGGTAAATTATAGCAATGGTGCTACAATGGTCCCATGTCATTTTGACAAATCTTAACCAACTTTTCCTCTAATTTTATAAGTGTTGTTTGGATATGGACTTTTTAGTGAATTTATATATATATATATATATATATTTTTGTCTTTTATAACCTTTTTAAACTTTTTTTAAAAAAATTAAATATTTACATTCTACTCGACTAGACAAATATAAAAAATTGAAAAAAAATATAAATATTCATTTTGCATTCCAAGACACTATCCAAACCGTTGGCTGGTGTCATAATCCACGATTGACATTCAACCTCTAGAATTTTTGGGCCTAGGCATAAAGCATCTCCGTACTTCTTCATTTTGATCATCTCTCTCTCTTTGATTTCAACTCAAGGGCTGAGCATCTCCCTCTCTCCCTCTATCTTTATCCCTCTCTTCTTTCTCACAAACCCACAGTCGACTCCTTTTCTCTCCATCTTCATTTTGATCATCATTACCAACGTCGATCGTCTTCAAACCAACCAACCTCTCTCTCTCTCTCTCTCTCTCTCTCTCTCTCTTTGTGATTTCGATCACCACCACTAGCGCCAATTGTTGATCGCCAAGTTTGATGAAACACTAGTGTTTGGAACACCAGTGTTTGGACTTCAATGGAACCCTAGAAGTCGATGAAGAACAAGCCCTAGAGGTTGATTTTGGTTGAGATGAAGAACAAGTTCATTAATCATGCTGGAATCCAAGTATTTGTCTTCTAAATTTGTTTCAGATTGCTTGAGAAATTTATATAAATTTGTGAAATTTGAGTTGTCTGATCATTCTGATGAAATTTGTTATTTGTTCTTCACTAAAATTTGTGAATTTGTGAAAGGGTACTTCCAGAAATTTTTGAATTTGTGAAAGGCTACTTTGTGAATTTGTGAAATCAGAAGAACGAAATTAGTTTTTTTTTATATTTTTTTTAAATGGTGAAAAATGAAGACCGAATTCTATTTTTTCTAAGTGAGGATCATCTGATTTGGAGCTAAAATTCTGTTAATCTTTGATGACGTGGCATGTTTGGCAAATGCCAAACCTCCTGCCAAATTTGACAACAAATATGTCATATGCTATATTTGACAGGAGTATTAGCAGGCTATTGGAGATTACTTCTTTTTCACTCTTGCCAAATTATAACTTTGGCAGCTCCATTGAAGATGCTCTAAGGCACTACTTGCTGAGGCCTAGTTGCTAAGACAAACTCTATCTCAACGCTATCATTTTATTGCAGCGCCGCTTTTTACAATTATCGAGGGGAAGGGAGCTGCGGCAACTTCAACCTCCACAACTATCTCCTAAGGCGTAGTTCCCCCCAAGTGATAGTAGCCTTTGAGGGACACCTCTTCTATACAAAGTAATGTACAGATGCTTGGCGCTGATAGCAAGCCCCAAGGCATTAGCAGCCTAGGGTTGATAGTAGGCTCGAAGCATGTATAGCTTACCTCTAATAGCAGGCCCCAACGCTTACTGGTTGGAACCGATAGTAGGCACCAAAGATGCCAGTATACCACAACGACCCCGTGAAAATGGAAGTAGGGTAAGTCGAACGCAAGGGACTCCCTTTCCATTTACCGAGGTCAAAGACCTGCTTTGGTTGCCCAAGCAAGACTAAGGAAGCCACTTGGGCTTGGTACAAAGCACAACACTTGTTGTGGCCCGTACCTTGGGAAGCTAAGAAGTTTGTAGTTAGGTGACTAAGGGTGTAAGATTTGCTGATATAAACACAAGTATAGCTAATAGCATATCATAAGCCCTATGCATGTCTTGGAAAACCGAACTGAGACGGCAAGTGCCGCAGCAACAATGACGCTACTGAGGTTCGTACCAAAAGGGTATATGTTAAAACTCGTGCCAAACAGATAGTACAATAACACCTACTGAGGCTTTGTACCAATCAAACACAAAATTTAGTGTAGCATTATTGGTACCACAATCATGTGTTATCACATAAATTTTTACTTTTTGTTTTATATTGTTTTTTATATTATTTGTAGAAACTATAACTTACCATCCTATATATTTTGTCAAGATGCTCTGTTCTTCAAACACTCAATTGGATTTTTAAAAAAATTGACTATTTGATTCCTTTAACATTTTTGAAACATGTCTAAAAGTATTAATTATGGCCATCAAATATTATTGTGCAAAACCAGATGATTAACATTGTCAAATAGTAACGATTTTTTTCCAAATAAATATTTCACATTTTTACAAAATAATATGCTTCATTGCTAAAATATGGCAACAATACATGATTGCACCACCATTTGCGACTAAACTAATCAATAAAAACTCTGCAACTGCAGCAAATAGTTTTATACATTGCTTACCTTTTACATGGCCTCTTTTCCCCATTGTTGGAGAGCAAGTCTGTCCACAACTTCCCCTGTCAAGGTAACAAAATAGTTCACCTGCAAAGAAAGCCGATGATGAAAACAAGAACTCTCCTGAAAATGGAGAAGCAATTAACACAAAATAATAATAATATATGAATTTATTTTCAAGCACATAAAGAGTATGATACTCACAATTTCTAGTGAGCTCACTCTGTGAAGAAGGAACCCGTTAACTGTTCTGTAATCTCAATTGGGGAAGAAAAAAAAAACCTAGTAGGTAAGGTGGCAAATGTAAACTTTGTTGTAAAATCCCCTCAATAAATTATAAATGGTTACTCACTTTTTAAAAACCGGCCTTTGATGCATGGTAGTAAAATATGGTCCTTTGGTCACCGGACCTCTGTTGCTGATGTCATTGTCTGTATGGAAACTGTTAGCACACGGCTGTCCGCTCAGGTATGCATTCTGGAGAGAAAATGCACATATCAGAAGTCCATATTTATCAACAAGGCACAAGCAAAGGTTTACATTTTGCATTGAGGTTAACCTACATAGACAATGTATTTCAGTTTTGAGCTATTTAATTGAATTAACTTCAATGGATTCTAAACAAACAACATCAACTTTACTTGAATGAATTTGAGTTCTCTGAAGTAACATGATTCATTTGATTTAGACCAAAGTTTGAGAAGATTTCGGAACGTTGCATAGTCCTCTACTTACCACTCCATATTTTAGGAATATTCGATGCAGAGGCTCAACAGCTTCTTTTGTTTCCATTTGTTCGATATTCTTATCACAAGCTACAATTGAGTGGAATCCAGCAATGATACGCCTGGATACACAAATATGAAAAAAAAACAGGTTTAATTTATGAAACCTTCCCAAAAGTGGATAGTTTTGAACTCGATAGTACTTTGCATTCATACCCAAATCAAAATGGGTACTCCAAATTCGAAACTACCTTTCAGATATACCAAAAAGATCAAAATTGGAATTTAAAATATGAAATCGTGTTCAATAAAATAATTTACAAAGCCAATGGATTTTAAACTTCTTCACATTGACTTTGAGCCAATGAAATAATCTTTAAATCGCAGGTATTATGCCATTTGATCCTACCAGCTAGCATTGCTTGCTTCGAGAGTACTCATTAGCCAGTTTAACTGATCATTTTGGCCATCATTTGAAGTATCCTAAACCATAAAATTGTTGAAGTTAGAATTGAAATACTATTGCCACAAACTGCAGAAAAATGAATGTCAACAATGTCACTCTTTCAGCAAGGAGATAGAGACGAGAGAATATTGCAATGAACATACACATTAATGTGTGATAAGTATCCCATAGCAGAATAAAAGGAAGAAGGATCTCAAGTTCAACTATTGAAGAACTTAAATATTCTAAAAGCATCATGTTATTTATCAACTAAACAACAATTCAATATGTTCCCACAAACCATACTTTGAACACAACTAAAACCATTCCAAACTCAATCCTATAATGGACCTCGTAATTCCTAACCAGAGAAGCACCTAAAAACCATATTGATCCCAGAATTGCTACTTGTTTATTCTTCTTATTTTCTATTACTAATTTTAGTTCATTACCATCACAATCTTGGAATGTATTACTATCACTTGAGCCTTATATAACAAAGATATATCAATTATATCAAGCCACATAGAGAGGGAGGGAGGGAGAGAGATCGGTGCCCTGCAATAGCATGCAACATTTGAATATCCTACTACAATGATTAATAATGAAGATTACTTTGTGTTACATTCACTTTGGATTTTAGCATGTTAGTGATGTGTCAACACATCTATAACATAAATTGCTTGACATTAGAAAAGGTCACACGGTGCACAAGGCTCTCCCACTTTACAGTAGCGTATGGGAGAGGTAGTAGGTAGACAACCTTACCCCCATAAATTTTTGTCTTCTGCAGTGAGTCATTTTCCGTGACTTAAACCGCTCTACAACCTAATTGGAACTAAAATTAGACTAATCAACCAATTCAATTTTTTTGTCAGTGCAAGTTTTGATCAGCAATCTGGGGCTAAAACTTAAATTGGATTTGTTGAAAAATACAAAGCTAGAACAAGGGTGAGACTTGAAGCAGGAAAGGAATTCCATGAGATGATTTTTGAAAGTACGTCAAAGCATCCTGATAATAACATGCATACTATGTATAGAAACACATGCGAATATGTATCATTTCTTTTCTTGACAAACACAAATAGCAGGAACAATTTGTAATTGCTCAATTTTGTGCAGTAAGAGTAATAGTTATAAACCCGCTTATACTAAGGATCAAAGTAAAAGTCAATCGAAACATTGTTATCTCCATCCTTCAACTACTTTACTCTTGACATAGTATAGTTTCTTAACAAATAAAAACAACTCAAGTTGATCTGTGAATCTACTAAAACAACACCTTAAATCCGGTGGTCAATTTGTGGTAGAAAAAAGAATGCAAAGCGGGATGATGCATATCAAAAAGTAAAAATAAAAACCACTCCTACAACACTGGAAATGCTACCAATTTAATAGGTGTACACTATAAACTAAAAAGGGAGGCAACATCTGCTTATTCAGATGAAAATAATGTTGTGAGGTACAAAACATCTTAATTATACGAAATAAAACAAGACAAGAACACACCTGCAGTGAGCTGGTATCCACAAAAATAACATCTAAGGTTTGCCCATAGGGGATTTTGACCTGCTTGACAAAGTATCCTGCTCCTCGTAATTTTGAAGCTTTTGTTGTATACCTACAAGATCAGGACAACCTCATGAAGAGATAGATAAGTTGATTCTCTTTGAACCATGAAATCAAATGTTTTACAAATTTTAAAAAAGATTAAAAAGATAACAAAAAGAACATATGACATGTAATATACCAAAATCAGAGAACTGTTTCAGAGAGGATGGTGTACCAGGGAACTTTAAATGACTGAAAATTCCACGTAGCCTGTTAGAGAAGGTTTGTTAGATTGTTGCTAAAATGTGATGTCAATGAAAATCAAATTGAATAAGAAAGTGACAATGCTCCAATCCTACCATTGCCCCATTCCCCCAAAACCCCACAAATCACAAAGGAAAGAAAAAAAAAAGAATGGTCCACGGAAAATGCAATGGAAGGCTGAGATTAAACCAGTTATGAAAGGGTCCGATTCAGGATAAATCTTTGCCTACCATTGCACTTCCTGTGACCCATTCTAATCCTACACTTTAATTATGTGTACTTAGCATTATTGAAAATATAAACAAGGCCAATTCTAGTAACGGAAATCAATTCCTGGGAAAGAAATCATATAAACCACACTGCTCCAAACTGTCTCAATAACAATAAGTCACACAACTCTAATAGAATCAAATTCATCTGTATACTAGAGATAAATAAGAGGGAAATAAAATGGCCAAATGTGGGGAAGATATAATTCTAGAAGGGATTATTCAACTTCCTAGTCTTTGATACGAGAAAAGGAATTTTCCACACCCCTTTTTGTGTGTCGAATTGAAATAATAATGATTCTTGATCCCATTTGTCAAAGATTCCTATTCTTAGTTTCTATTTTTTTCCAGATGTATCAGAACTCATTTTTTTTTCTTTTTTCTTTTTCCTCCTGGTTTTTACATATAATGAAGCTTTTGGAGATAATTTTTCCTCAATTTCACCAAAATTCCTTCATATTGTGGGTGTTTGGGAAGTTGCTATTTTAGGAGGCTAAAATTTTTGTATTTGGGAAGATAGTTAGATTTTTTTGTAGTTAGATGTGATGTTTGTGAGAGAAAAAGTGAAATGATTATGGATTTGATGTGACATTTTGTCTTATTAACTATTTTAGTCTATTTGTCTTTTAGTGCTATTTTAGTCAAAAAAGCTAAAAAAAGCTAAAAAAGCTTCTTCCCAAACACCCCTACACAGAACTTTAACTAGTAAATGTTAGATTTTATTGAAGAAATTTAGGTTCAACATGTTTAAAAAGGAAGCCAACTGAATAAGGTTTCTCTGCCATCAAATGACTACTGAAGCCAAGTGATCACTATTTCCAGATTTGGAATAACAAACAGCAAATGCTATACAAATTTGGACTTTTTGTGAAGTTAGAATGAGTTCTTACATTCAGCATGAGTGGATCATCTTCCCCAAGTTCACTAATGTTGATAACAAACCTTGCCTTGTACGTCTTTACCACCTCAGCCATCTTCAAGAACAACAAAAATTACAATAAGAAGATTCAAAACAGGTTTCAAAAAAATGTGAAAACATGAAAAAAGAAATTGGGAGGGAAAATAAGCAAGCTATAAAGAAGATGCAGCCAAGCACAATTAAGAAAATTTGATCCTAAAAATACAGTGATTGTGCATAGATTGAGATGATAAACACTAAACTCACAAAGCTAGTATATCCAAAGCAATTGAAAGAGATAAAATGGAAGAAAGGCCATAACATGCAAATCGAGGTGGAACAGAGGGCGTGATGCACTTGAATCAATCAGGCTTTTTTGGGGGGTCAATTGGTAGGAGATAAATTACAATCATCATGAGAACCACATCAAAATGGATATTTAACTGTGAAAGAAAGTCCAACACATCGCCACAAGCTACAAACCCAATAAAGAGCCCAAACAATTACAAAAGCGAAAGACCAAAACCTAGGTAGGAAGAATCGTACCACTCACCTAGAGAGGTGCAAGAACTCTTGGCCAACAGGATAGCCTCGTTGGTACCGTGAGTTATGGGATTACAATGTCCACTACATGTGGGAAGAGACAAATCCTTGACCTCTTGTTGAGATGTAGGAACTCTAGGACAATAGACTAGCCCTGTTAGTTAAATCAACCAGGCTGTAATATTCGGTCTACAATTAGTCTGAACAGCTTCATAGCACCAAGATGGAAAATTGCTTCATTGACTTCCCAGATTTAGAGCACGCTTTGCTATATGATTTGCAGCTCTATTACATCACGTTCAACAAAGTTAAAGCTACAAGATTGGAATCCAGTTTGCAGCACGAGACAAATCAGCTATCAAGATGTCAATATCAACCAAAGAACATACATTTTCATTCAAAGCCTTGATCACTTGCAGAGGGTCCCCTCAATGATTAGTTGTGGTATATTCCATGCTCTGGCAATCATAAGAGCATTTGGGACTGCAAGGGGTTTCAACAAACGAGGAGGAGCTACAAAGTAAGGGTTAATTTGGTAATTTCTGATAACCTACTCAAACTGGAATCATTTTTCAAAACGAAACAATAGTTTGATCCCCACACTCTCCCATGGTAATGTGAACCATTTAAAAAAAAATTAAATTAAATGGGGCACAATATTTAAAATTTTATTGTTTTCACAAAGAGAATTCCTAACTAAACCAAATGTTTGAAACATTAACACAACAATTTTATTACTAGTAATGAGAATCCTGATAATGAGATTCTTATTCCTTCTCTTTGATTCCTGCCATCCAAACATTCCCCAAGGGGAATAACTTGCAATCCAATAATATTACCAACAACATCCCTAGCTATTATGCTAAAAGCCTGCTCTATACTCCACTTCATTCACAGCCACGTCAACATTGAACTTGACCATGGGAGAAGCTGGCATTGTCCACCTGAGATTCTCAAGGGAGGGGACATTGGTCATGATGTTCTGCACTGGTTGTTTGGTAGAATCAATGCACTCAACCCACATTCACCAAATAGCTTTGTTCACCACATCCTGAGGCTGACAAAATTCTTGATCAAATGCCCAATTGTTTCCATCCTTTGGACACAGTCCAAAACTCTAGGATTGTAGAAATGAGCTGTGATCTTCATTTTTTTGTGTTAGGACTAAAGCATAAGGAAGATTTATCCCTATTCACCAATTGTCCGGATGCTTTTTCATACTTGTCCATGCAAGAGTTCAGAGTTTGGCAGTCCTGCTCACTGCTATGACAGAAACGAAGCAGTCGTTGGCCAAAAACAAATGATAAGGCATTTTCTACCTATTTTAACTCCTATCAAATCATGATTAGCCTCAACCTTCTCCAAAAGATAATGCAACCACTCCGCACAAAGAAGAAAGAGGTAGGGGCGATAGGGGGTCACCATGCCTAATCCCTCTCTATGGTCTTAATATTTCACCTTTACCGCCATTGATCAAAATATCAAAAGATGCTGATGATACACAACTCATAAGTTCATAAACCACTTTTGCATTAGGTTCAAAACATTCCCAGCTCACTCTATCATACACGTGCCATTTTGACTACCATCCAACCCACCTTATGCCTCCCTATTCTTAATCCATTGCATTATTTCATGTGCAGTAAGAATATTACTAGTGATTTGTCTACCACCCATAAATGCACTTTAATTGTGATAATAGCCCGATGCAGCTTAGTAGGGTTACTTATTGTTGAGATTAATTCCACATCCCACCAAGGCGAACAAAAGCATAGCATGCACACAACAAAGAGAAAATAATCTGTCACATACAAATTTATATGGTTCAACCCAAATTGTCTACATCTACGGGAGAGAGATTCCACTATATGGATAATGTAGAAAATACATGTGAAATGGCTAAAATACTCAAAACCCGAAACCCACACCGTTGCTTGAACCCCAACGATAATTGAGCCCTTGCTCACACCGAACCCCATGTTCAAAGGTTGGAATTTTTGTTTCTCACCCCTTATATCTCTTTTTTTTCCTCACTATTCCCTCTATCTCACCAAAACCTATAGTCCATGACTATTTATTACAGTTTACGCAAAAGAATCTTAATTCCATACAATTAGGTAACCAAAACCTACACATATTGAGTTTTTTAGTAGATTCTTGATTCTATTATCCTAACTCAAAATACATAAACCAACCTAATAACTATATGAGACCCGCATATATCACATGGGTGGACTAATCCTAACACCTACAACTTTATTATTAATTTTGGAATTCTGTGTCAAAATGTTTGATATAATTTCTTCTTATTATTTATGAGGCAAAATAACTTATAAAAAATAATAAATAAATAAATAAAAAGGCTGAAGGGAGGTTGACTTTAAATTCTGGTTTCTAATTATTAACTTTCTACTAATGAAAAACTACACCAAACAAGTCCAATACATGAATAGCAATGCCTCAAGTTATTAGCCATTATTTGGATTTGAAGAAGATATCTCTAGGTAGCTGACCGCAGTTACTGTCATTAAAGCTTATCAAGTTGTGTGTGTGTGTGATTATTTTATTTATTTATTTGTTTTCATTGGGTAGATTCAAAGTTGTGGAGACAACAGGGTACACCTTGAGAAAATAAATAACAGAATAAACATATTTTCATTTTGATATGACTACAATTTCAGATAAAGACTATTAAGGACAAGAGTATCAAACAAACTAAGCCATACCAACCAATATAATCCAAAGTTTTCCACTATTGAGGGGTTTGGTAAGGAAAAAAAATGGAGAGAGGTTTGGTGAGAAAAAAATAATAATAATAATAATAATTGTTGAAATTTAATGTATAAAGAGAATTGTATTATTGATTGATATATGTTGTTGTATATATTACAAATGATGGGTGGCTCATTATATAGGAGAGGGTGAGTGTAGTAGGTGAGGAGTAGGTGGTGGTAGGTGATGGTAAATTGGTGGTAGGTGATGGTAAATTTTAACAGCCCCCCGCAAACTCAAGGAGGATAGAAACTAACCAACTTGAGTTTGGAGAGAGTAACAAAACAAGAAAATACATAAAAATAAAAGAGGATAAGAGACACTGTATGGTCGTGTCAGACCATTGGTGAAGACACTGGATGGTGGTGTCATAACGTTGTAGAGGACACTGTATGAGAGTGTCAAAACCATGTAGAGGACACTGTATGGTGGTGTCATAACGGTGTAGAGGACACTGGATGGCGGTGTCAGACCGATGTAGAAGACAGTTTATGGGGTCATGTCGGACCATTGTAGCACACACTGTGTGGTCGTGTCAGACCAATGTAGAAGACAGTTTATGGGGTCATGTCGGACCGATGTAGAAGACAGTTTACGGGGTCATGTCGGACCGCTGTAACAGACACTGTTGTGACAGTTGTTGTGACAGTTTACAGAGTCTTGCTGGACCCTTGTAGAAACTAACCGGAATCAATGTCGGGACAGTTTACAGAGTCTTGTCGGACCCATGAAGGAGCTAACCGGAATCAATGTCGGGACAGTTTACAGAATCTTGTCGAACCCTTAAAAAGTCGCACCCTCAAAAGGTGTGCCCAATCTATCAAAAGGTGTGCCCAATCTATCAAAAGGTGTGCCCAATCTATCAAAAGGCGTGCCCAATCCATAAAAAGGCGTACCGGATATGATGGCGAGGCACGTGAGTGCCTTGGCTGGCGCGCCCGTTTGTCGTCTGGCGTCAAATGGCGCGCGATACGCGTGGCTGCCTCGGCTATTTAACCAAGACGGAGGCTGAGGCTGAGGCAGAAGCTGAGACAGAAAAAGAAAAACTGAGAGAAACCTCTGAAAAAATCCTTCGTGTTGCTGAGAAAGAGAGTTCCTTGTGCTGAGAGAGATAGTCTGTAACACTTTGTTGCCCAGAAAATGGCTTCGTCTTCCCGTGGGCTGCTCACTCTCTTTCCCGACCTCAATGAGTCAACAAGAGAGAGAGAACTTGGTGCGGTGGCCAGTGAACCTCAACCAAAACATCCTCTGTGTTTCTCCGTTGAACTTTCCGATGCGGTCGGTGGAGCAAAAAATGGCGGTGCAAACTGATATTGAGGCCAATCAGTATACTCTGAAGTCATGTGTTGGGAAACCATGACTGCGGTCCAAACTTGTCGCACCGCTGCAGAGCAGGACAAATGAAGGTGCAACAGTTAAACTCCAGCTGGCTCTGCTCCAACGCATGTATAAGGATGCTGCGAGCAGATAAGTGTGCTAAAGGCAGAAACAAGGAGCTGAAGCGGAAGGCCACCGTGATGTTCGATTTGGAGGTCGCTATGCTTGTGGAGGAGCGGGTGGTGTGATCCGTGCCCAGTGGAGTGGGAAACACGGAGGCAACACCGGCAAGGGCTGTCCAGGACGGAGGCAAGAAGAAGAGACCTGCAGCAGAGTAGAGAAGAAAAAATCCCACTGTGGATGTGGTGTGTTGTGGTGGTTTGTTTTGTTTGTTTGTTTGTTTTTTTTTTTTTTTTTTTTTTTTTTTTTTGTAAATAAAATGGTGATCGGGGTTGATCCCTGAAATGAATAAAATATGGTTTGTGTGCAAAGCTATATATATTTTTTATATTTTTGTTTTTGTTTTTGTTTTTTGTTTTGTTTTTGTTTTTGTTTTTGTTTTTTTTTTTTTTTTTTTTTTTTTTTTTTTGTGTATTGTGAAAAAGGGAACACAAAAAAGATAAGAGAAATAAATAAAAATTCTATTTTGTGGTGAGGGAGTCGGTGAGGGAGGTGTAAAAGGTGATTAAAAGAAATAAATAAAGAAAGTTTAATAAAATATGAGTGAGTTGGGTCTTCAAGTCTGCCAAAAGGAAGATGCTTATCACAGAGCATTATTGATTGCACCGGACAATAACAAGATGTGCAATTTGGGTATTTGCTTGATGAAGGCAAGGGAGAATTGCCGAAGCGAAGGAGACTCTTCGGAGAGTAACACCAGCAGCCATGGATGGCCCAAGAGGTGTGGACTCCCACCTCAAGGCCTATGAGAGGGCACAGCAAATGCTTCGAGATTTGGAGTCTGAAATGATGAATAAGAGCGGTGGAGATAGAGAGATGTGATGGAGGCTTTTTCGTCTTCTGGAAGTTGCATTTGCAACAGTCTGCAACAGATCACTCCACTGGAACCATTGGTATGGATCTCATTACAACTGGGGTTTCTGCAAGTGAAAGGATGAGAAGGGAAAATCTGTTATCCGCAACTCGCAACATAAGTATGGAGAAGATGCAGATTGGAGGGCCTCTACTCGGTTCTTGAGTTACTGGAAGAGTTGGCGTAATTCGAGCTAGCAGTGGTTTGAGTTGCTGCAGTGGTTATTGGCGTGATTGGAGAGGAGGTATGTGTTGAGGTCCGGCGGGCGGCCAAGGCGAGACTTGCCGCCCGCCGGTGACAAAAATTACTAGCTTCTTAACCTTGCTCTGATACCATGTTGAAATTTTAATGTATAAAGAGAATTATATATGATTGATATATGTTGTTGTATATATTACAAATGGTGGGTGGCTCATTATATAGGAGAGGGGAGTGGTAAGTAGGTGAGGAGTAGGTGGTGGTAGATGATGGTAAATTGGTGGTAGGTGATGGTAAATTTTAACAATAGTGTTAGATACTCAAACATTTGATTCACAAATTAATGTGATAAGGGAATTGGACCCTCAATGATTAGATATGTAACAAATCAGAAATTATACGTACCGTGATATATCATTGTGGGTAGAATTTTGGAAGCTTTTTGGGTCTCAAATATTTTCCAAAAAAGAAATGGAGAAAATAAAGGTTGCGTTTGGTAAAATTTTAGAATTATGATTTGCAAATAGAGTTATATTTTGAATTTGTGAGTTTTGGAATAATGATTTGAGTGTAAAAAATTTATTTAATTATGAGTTTTGAATTGAGTGATGTGACATATAATATTTGATTTAAAAATTGTGAATTACACTAATAGTCCCTATAGTTTGGGACTTGTATCACTTTAGTCCCTGACTTTTCAATTGTGACACATTTGACTCTGGATTTTGAATCTTGTTTCAATTAAGGACAATTGAAGATATCATTAAATTTTTCATGGGTAAAATCATCAATTTGATAAAATATAAACTAATTTGACAAAAATAAATGTCAAAAAAATATTTTTGAATTTTTAAAAATTATTTCTACACACTAAAGATAAAATTATGTAAAATTGATAAATCTTTTAAATATTTATTTATTTTTTTTACCAAATTAATTTTTATTATGTGCTTAGATGATGATCATGTAAAATTAATTTTTAAAAATTAATCGTGCAATTTTTATTGATTTTGATCAATTTTACATAGTTTTATCTTTAGTGGATAGAAATAATTTTTAAAAAATTAAAAATATTTTTTTGACATTTATTTTTTTCAAATTAGTTTATCTTTTATTAAATTGACAATTTTGCCATTGAAATTAAATAATGGTATCTTCAATTATCCTTATTTTGAACAAGATTCAAAATCCAGGATCAAATGTGTCACAATTGAAAAGTCATGGACTAAAGTGACACAAGTCCCAAACTACAGGACTGTTAGTGTAATTTGCCCATTTAAAAATTTACAACTCATAACCAAACACACAACCTAAAATTCTATACAAAGCTCATAAAAAAAAAATTTAAAAAAATCTCAAAATATTTTTTATTTGAAATATAAAAATAAAAATAAAAATATTTTGAAATATAAAAATTACAGATGCCAAAAAACTAAAAACAAATACTGTTCCGGCCAACAGGCCGGACGTCCGGAGGATCAACTGGTAAACATGTTTTGAAAAGCGGGTGTGAAATCAATTTTTAAAAATTGTAAATAAACATAGGAATCAAATCATGGTGTGCTGATCAAAAAAAAAAATCAAATCATGGTGTGAAATCATGTTTGGAAGGCTCCACCAAACACAGCCAAATTTTTTCATCATAAAAACAAATACTGTTCCGGCCAACAAGCCGGACGTCCGGGAGGATCAACTGGTAAACATGTTTTGAATAGCGGGTGTGAAATCAATTTTTAAAAATTGTAAATAAACATAGGAATCAAATCATGGTGTGCTGATCAAAAAAAAAAATCAAATCATGGTGTGAAATCATGTTTGGAAGGCTCCACCAAACACAGCCAAATTTTTTCATCACTTATTTAGATAAATGAGATGAGTAATGGTGAAAAATAAAAAATAAAATTAAAAAAATAGTGAAAAAGCTAAATCAAACTAAACTTTCGTTTTGTTTCTCATTAAAAGCGGCACAATCATATCTTTTCTTTTCTTTTCTCAATCCAATCAATTCTTTTATTTTCTAATCTCTCAATCTATGAAAAAAACAAGAATGAAAATGAAACAAATCAGGGAAAGATCCAGGGACCAAGAAGACAAACAGAAATTCTTGGAGCATAGAACAAATTTAGATAAATTAAGATATACCCACGAATAGAAATCAAATTAAATCCAAACTCAAACATTGAAACCATTGAAATAGATTCAAATATATATACACACATATGTATGTGTAGAAACTCACTTGTTTGAGAAGATCGGTCTGTTGTTTAGGAGGTCTAGAGCCTCCTCTAACACTGATGAAATAAATATCATGATGACTTGTCTCAGTTGTGTTATGGTACATTATTGGCTTCTGAGGACGACCAATTTGGAGAGCAACAAAGAGAGCAAAGCAGAGAGAGATCTGTGTGATTAGAGTACAAACCCATGATTTTCTCTCCATTTTCACACACTACCCACCTTGCAACTCCCTCCTGGCTTAACTCAACAATTTAATGGGTTCCCTGAATAGACTATACATAGGCTGATGGTGATGGATCGATATATATCAAAGTACAATCTGTCTGGATCGAGAAATGAGTAAGAAACCTAATGATTAGAATTTCGGGTGTATGTTTGGACGGTATGGATAAAAAGACATCTATTGGGGGATGTTTGGACGGCCTGGATAAAGATAGATTTATCGGATTGTTAGTTCTGGATACATTGTCTTCGAATTATTTTATTGGATTGAATTTGTATTTTATGATTAGATATGTCGATTGAACAATTTTTAATGAATTTAATGTTTGGTTAAACGGACTGAATAAGAATAAATATTAAAAAAAATTATTTTATCCTTGTAATTTATAATTTTTATTTAATATATAATTTTAAATTTGTAACCTATAATTTATAATTTATAATTTACCAACACTAAAAAAAATTAATTTATAAGGCCATAATTTTTAATTTATTATTTTAAATTAAATTAAATTTATAATTAAAATTTTTTTATTTAATATATAATTTTAAATTAACAACACTAAAAAAATAATTTATAAATGTTCGAAAGATTATTTTACCTTTTTCTAATTGTTTGCTAAGTAATAACATGGGGTAAAATGGACATTTCACACATTAATCTCATGGGATTGGTATCCCATGAAAATAATCTCACCTTCCCCCTAGGATACAATTATCCCTTATATGAGGGACTAATAGCCCGGAGGGACTATTAATCCAGAGCAAAAAAATTGAATCAAACAATGGACTATTAGTTCGGTAGGACTAATAATCCAATCCCATGGCCTAATCCTTCAAAACAAACACAACCTTAAGGGGTTGTTTGAGATGATTTATACAAGTTTATTTTTTTTTTTACTTTTTAGTTAAAAAAAGTAGAGAAAAAAATATGTAAGTTTGGAATAATTTTCTGACTTTTTACGAAAATATGTGTAATAAAATATTGTAATAAAATCAAAATGACAATTCTATTATTGTTAACTTTTTTAATTTTAACATTTTGACTTTTGAATATTTGAATTCAAATGGCAAAATAATAATTTTACCCTCTAAACTTCCCCACAAGTTTTTCCCTAGTAGTATGGATTTTATGACTTTTTTAATAATTTTTTTAATTTTTTAACTTTTGTAAATTATCACAAACATCTACTAAGGTTGGAAAAAAATAAAATAAGAATAAACTATTAATAGGTTCTAATAATTAAATTTAATTCTCATCAAATCTTATTGAAAATAAGTTATAGTAAGATTCCCAATAAAAATAATTTTTTGTGCCGTGTCACTAAAAATTAATAATTTGTGACTTTTTTATCACGATTTTTATATTCTGTCGCTAAAATTTAAAAATTAGTCACTTTTTTGTGACAATTTTTTTAAACTGTCATTAAAACTTATAATTAGTGATTTTTTTTGTGACACAATTTTCAAACTGTCGTTGAAAATTAACAATTAGTGACGTTTTTTAATAATATTTGATGAAAAATGTCATTAATTATCATAGGACCTATTAGATAATAAATTTATTTATTATGACCTATACGTAAGTTCCCCAATAAATAATCACTAGGTTCTAATTTTTTGAACTTAATTTTTTTTCGTGTATCTTTTATTTTTAGTGAATTTTTTTAATATTTTAAGTACATTTTTTTAATTTTTTAGATACACTTAATATAAATACAATTAAAAAGTATAATATTTATGAATTTTTTTATAAAAAAATCACTAAATACTAAAATAATATTTAAAGTATAATATTTATGAATTTTTTTTTAAAAAAAATCACTAAATACTAAAGTATAATATTTTTAAAAAAAATCACTAAATACTAAAGATATTTTCATATTCTTGTTTATTTATTGATTTTTTAAAACATTTTTTACATGTATTTTATTTTTTACGTACATTTAGGTTAGATGTATTTAAAAAGTAAAAAAATTGTTTAAAATATTAAAAAAAAAAACAAAAATTCAATTTTCAAAAAATTTAATTCAAGAAATTGGAACCAAACAAGGTGAATTGTACTTTTTTATGTTTTTGTTTGGATGGATTATGATTAAAAGATAATTTTAACTTCTCATCAAATTTTATATTTTTGACAAAAAATAAAACTTAAATCTAATGTGACTTATATTTTTCATTATTGTTTTTTACATTTTTCACCAGTAATCATCCAAACAAATAATAAATGGTTGTTTTGAAAACTATTTGATTAATTTTTTTGTTTTTTACAGAAAAATATATGTAAAAAGTAAAAAAAAAAAAAAGTTCAAATTTTTTTATATAGATTATAAACTATTTGATTTTTTAATGATTTTTTAGTTTTCATGCCAAACGAGCACAAAATAATATTTGTATCTAACTATGGGTCAAGTTTGCCTTTTGAGTTTTATTGTTAATTTAATTTGGTTAAATTAGTTTCATTTGAGAATAATTTTTATTTATTTTTGATTTAGATGCGATGATTATGAGAAAAAAGTAAAATGATTATGACTTGAATATTATAGATTAGCACCAAACCTTCAATTGGAGCATAAGAGCATGTGTATTATGTTCACATGTTGGCATGTTGTGTTGTGTCTATGGCTATGCAAGGCGGCCCACATCTCCCACAAAAGGGTAAGTTATACTTTCTCCTTGATCATTTTTTCACTCTTAACTTTTAAAATTTATTTATTTATTTTTTTTTTTACTTTTAACTTTTCATATTTCATATTTTTTGTACTTTACTTCTAAAATTAACTTTTATTTAAAATGAGGCCAAAAAAATATAACAATAAGTATAACATAACATTAAAAAATACATTATTATATTAAAATTAAAATTTATGTCAGAAATGTGAGTTATATATAATAAAATATTTTTATATCACGCCACTGTTAATATATCATTTTCTGTCTAATTTTGAACAAAAATTAATTTTAAGAGTAAAGTGAAAAATCTTGAAACATGAAAAGCTAAAGTAAGAAAAAATGAATTTTGAGAGTCAAAATGAGAAAATGATTAAACATAAAAATGATAAAATCTAATTTATCCCCATAAAAGAGTAATTTTTTTAGAGTGCTACTATTAGCACCTACCTTTTTCCTTTGGACCCCCACATTTTCTTTATTTTTTTATTACAATTTTGTCCAAACACCAATTTACATTTTTACCTATCTTCATCCTTCCAACCCTAACCCTAACCATCCACCTCCACCTCCACTCCACTTCGGCCGACTGCCTCTCCCCCTCTCTCTCTTCTTTTTTTTTTTTTCTTCTTCTTCTTCTTCAGCAGATTCAACCACTCTCCCACCATCTCTCTCTCTCTCTCTCTCTCTCTCTCTCTTCTTTTTCTTTTTCTTCGTCTTCTTCTGGGTTCGTAGTCATCCTGCCATCATGAACCTCTCATCGCCAGGCCATCGAGTCTGACCATCTTCTTCTTCTGGGTTCGTGGGGTTTCATTTTACCAGGTAGGGGTTTAAAGAAGTGGGGAGTCAAAGTAAAAAAGTGGAGGCAAATAGCAAGCCTTTTTTTTTATTTCTTTTATTTTCTTTAAGCCAACTTTTAACATGAAACACACTCTCTCTATATAATTATAGATAGATGAAGTTTGAAAACAAAAGGAAAAGAAAAGTTCTAAAATACACTTTAAAAAATTTGTTGAGCATTTCGAACTTTTTTTCTCTCTCTCTCTCTTTTTTTTTTTTAAATTATCAAAAATGATCAAATCCTAACCCTAGGTTTGGCCATCTCCTCTTCAACTTCGATTAACCTTTACAGCTCTAGCCAATTGTTACTAGTTTAGCTTTTTCATTGTCATCGTTGTTATCATCAGCACCCACCCTAGTCACTCAGTAGACCTCCAACCACTTTTTAACCTATAAGGTTCCTAAATTTATAATCCATTATTGTTAAAAAAAATCATTAAATATTCTCTGAAAAATCGTTATAAGAAAATATTAATAATAAACACAGTCTTTTATTCAATTAATCTCTTTTCCATTGAACTAATTCAAAACATTACATCATTTGCTCACAATACAATTCATAGTTCAAGAAGTTAGAGAAATCAAAAAAAATATGCCCTAATGGCGTACAGGTTTCAAGGTATTCCCTTAATTATACAAAAATGGTGGACATCGGTCTCAAAACACAAATGTAGCTCCGGAGCTTCAATACATAACAATCAATGAGCCCTTCTGCTCCATTCAAAACATTTCCTGTGAGGCCTCTAACTTTTGTAAATCCTATTAAGTCCCTGACTTTTGAATTGTTATAATAAAACCCATAGTTCCTTGTTTATTCGCAAATTTAATCCAAGAATTGGAGACGCATCGCAAATGAACCCGTACAAACCCTAATTGATCCCGATAGCTTAGTAATCGTTTCTATATTTATATAATTACCGAAATTATATACTAAAATTCAATTTAATGCACATGTGTAGTGTGCACACCTGATGAGTGTGCTATAAATCATGGGGAAAAAATAGAAAACTTGAGAAGTTATCAAAATCTAAATTTTTAAATCAAAATATGAGCAATTTGAAAATACGAAAAAAAAAAAGAAGAAGAAGAAGAAAGTGACAAATCACACCAAATTATTTGTACACTATCATTTTCCTCTTCCAGCATTGCTATTTACATCCAAAGTTAGATCCACTTTCTAAACCTAGTAATGTGTCAAGGAGATGATTGATTAATAATTAGAATATTTAACTATCAATCAATTATTTTTTTGACACATCATTAAATCTAAAACGTAGACTTAACTTTTGGACATGAATAGTAATGTTTTAAAATGTTAAAATTGATAAAAAAAATTTAAAAGGGATGTGAATAAACTTAACATTGATATTTTAGGAGTCTTTTGTATTAAACACAGTCATAGAATTGTCATTAACAATTTTGCGCATAACCTAAAAATATATATAAATAATTGAAAGTATATATGAAAAAATATATTGATATTGTAGTACATTCGTATTAGGATAACATCACTCTTTTTAATTTGTAAATACATATAATAGACTTTGAGTAATCCACACTTTTTTTTTAAAATTATCTGCCATCTACATTTAAGGGAAGGGCTGATCTCAAATTCTAG